CCAGCGAGGCTGTGAGGTAGCCAGGAGATGACAATGCAGAATTTGATTCTTGAATACGTCTCTGCGGAGTGTCGCATATTGTTGATTCTTATATGTGGACTTTACTGGTAGGAACCTCCTGGTTACACCAGACCACAGGGGATTATTCTGTCCGTCCGTCGTGCATCCAAAATGGTAGGGGTGGGGCTAGGTGGAGAGGGGAAGGTGGGGAGGGGCTGGGTGGGGAGGGTGGGGAGGGGCTGGGTGGGGAGGGGCTGGTCACCCCGTGGTGCCCTTAAACGTTTAACCGACTGTGAGGGCAGGCTTGTGCCCGCCCTCACAGTCGGTCATATTTGCGGAATACACCACGCCGCCGTTGACCCTGGCCATTGACCGAGCAACCCAACGTTCCTACCAGCTCCCTCCACAGCAGGAATGTGTTCTCTGGGTTACCCCAGCTCCCTCCCACGCGCAAAAAAACAGCGGAGCTGCAAATATCATCCGCGCTCCTCTGTGCAGCAAATCCAACATTCATCAGGGCATAATTTTGGGAGGTTTTTTTTCGACTACATGTATATTACATGCACATTTATACAGGATTCTTAATTTTTTAACACTTATATGGGACTATAATTTTTAATGGCAAAAAAACGGATAATACACTGCAACATGATAACAAATGTATGTTAATAGCATCACTGTCAACGCGTGCCTGGAATCTTCTCCAGGTGGCCTCCAGAGCCCGGAGGCACATTTATTGTGGTATTGTTGCAAATTCTCAGAAGTGTTGACATTGTTTTTAAAGCACCCTGTGAAGAGGCGCTACGATAGCAAAATGTTAACTCCCTCACCTGGTATACAGGAGTTTGTTGGTTCGATCCCGACCCTGACACCTGCTGTATATTTGGAGTTTGCATGTCTCTTTCTCTGTGGTCGTGTGGATTTTTCTCCGGCTCCTCCGGGTTTTCCTCTTCACATTTAGAATCAACTTTCATTTAGAGTATTTGGCTCCAATACATTTCAACATGACAAGGCACTCCGTTGAGATATCATTTGTGGCCAGGTCGCTTTGGAAAAAAGAGCTACATAGCTCAGTGGGCCCTTGCCTGGTAAAACAAAAGCAAACATAGTTTAAAATTAGCATTACATACAAAGGCAGGAGGCACGTGTCGCCTGCACAGGAGCGTCATAACAATGGGCAGCAGTTGGACGTCATCCTTCACGCGTGCGTCCCAGCTGACTGCCACTCCCATAGTGCTCGGTGCATAGTCACGGATGTATGAGCGCGACCACGCATCCCCACCACTTTGCCCAGTGGGCTTGTAGGACCACACTTTGTGAGATTACGCGCACATAGAAATGTTCACAAAGCTTCTCTCTGTCCAAATTCGTGTAAGACACTTCAGAATGTTATTTTTGGGAAGCAGCACCGGGGGACTGACTCGAACCGAGGGTCTCAGGTATGCTGACTCAGTGATATAACACAGACGTATTTTATTAGCCGTCTGAGCCACAAAACAGCATCATGTTTATGGTCATCAAGTTGTGTCTGATGTCAGCTTTATGACTGGTGTGATATTGCATAAGCAGTCGTTATTTTAGAGCCGCTTGCACGCTGCAATTAAATTTGGTTTCTTTTCAAAAGAGTTAGTGAACCTTCAACTGCCGGCCGCGGGACACTATCCAAGCAACTGCAGGTGCACTCTCCTCTTGGCATCTATCCGGCCTCCTCCACCACAAATCTCCGTGCAAGCTCCTCCATCAAGCACCCACCATCAGAGCTCTCAAAGAGCTGGATTTAAGCCCATTTTGCCACTCGGGAGTAAAATGGTTCTTATGCAACAAACTTGGATAATTTCATACGGTGATTAATGCACAAAAGATGCCCGTGCTAAACAGATTGGGATTTGTGTTTTATTTGGCGACACGTGTACTTAACTACGTGTGTCCAATCAAGTGAACCCTAAGTTTGCACCAGAGGGCAGACTGTGAGGCCTGAAAAGTGGCTGTCGACAACGTAACGAGTGTTCGACACAATGTGAGTCACACACAGGATTCTGCTTGCACGGCGAAGCCACGAATCTACCAACGAGAACTGTTCAAACACACATTGAGGCTATTATTAACGTGCATTTGTGACGTATTTGTTTTAAGTTATTTATATATACAGTATATAATAATATTTGAGAATAGACAACGCCACTATTTAAACACATATTAACATTATTGTTAATATGCATATTTACTTTATTGTTAATAGTGTTAATATGCATATAAAAATATTGTTAATATGCATTTTGTGACGTGTCTATTTTTTTTATATATATCCAGTATGTGATATTTGATTTAAAGTGTTTTAGTGTTCTGATGGGGATTGGAGGGGTGTGGGTGGAGCTCATCACACGCGACTGGGTATGTGGCGGGTTCAGAGCGCGTCTGGGGACCGACCCGGGCCTATCGTTCCCCCAAGGGACTATCAGTTTCATTTATTTGGTATAGCCCTGTGAGCCATTCGGCTCTTGAATCGGATGCAACCGCAACAAACAAAAAACAAAAACATGAACAAGAAAACATCTTAAAGTAACTATGCGCAAACAGAAAAATCCAGGAAAAAACTGCAAAGTCTTCCAGAAAAAAAGCACCGTACACCAACGCTGTGCAAAAATCCCAGTGGGATGTAAGTCAAACAACAACAACAACCACAAGACAACTTAGATTAACTCCGTATTACAACAAACAAACATGGCCAAACCAAAACACTTTTCGGATCACCAAAATAAAGCCATAAGCAAATTGACGACCACTTTTCTGTCAAGTGACCAGTGGTTGCCCTACGCGGCAGGCTGGCTCCCACCGTGGGAATGTGAGGATTTCCACCACCGCCGACTGGGCTGCCAATGGAAATGAGTGCCACGGTTCTGCTCGTTTGGGCAGGCAGACAACGCACGCACACACAAAAAACTTCAGTCGCAAACAGATAGTGGGACGAACCTCTTAACGGAGGCGCCCTATGATTAACTGTTGTTGTTGTTTTTAACGGATAACAGTTCTTCGATGCTGTATGCAATACTGTCAACAACCGATAACAAATCAAATAGAATGCTGATTTTTTATCACGGAAAATTGTCTGAAAGCTCGGCTAACGCACAGCATGGCCCCTAATATCACTGCTGAGTCATTGCTCGTAAGAGGTTTACTTCATATAACCTACACAGTGTGAGATTTGCAATGACAAGCTGCTACATTAATAAGCAGCAGATATGCTGAAGTATATCGTATGTCACATGCGGGATGTGTATTTTGTTGTGGTTAATAACAGTGCGATGGGAGGGAAAACGAGACGAGCAATGCCCACTCCATACCATAGGGTAATTTTAGTTTCCCGTTCCTGAGCAACGTCACGAAGCCAGCAACAAACAGCACCATAGAAGTTGTAGTTGATATGAGAGCTGATACCTTTCTCGAGTTGAGCGGCGATGTTCAGAGTCTGGGAAAGAGCTGACGAGAAGGCATTTCAAAGTCGACCAGTGGGAGGGGAGAGGGGGGACAATAAGTGTATTGAGCTGTCGTGCGGTGGTTTGAACACCGCGTGGATGAGACAACAAGTCGGTATGTGTGTGGAGGTACTTGCGTCGAATTCGACTGTTTGCCTCACTTGGCTGCATACCTAGAAATCTTCCTTCGAATGTGGCATCGAGCAGTAGACAATGATGTCTACATCTGTCTCCCAGAAAACTGTATTGACAACAATACAAATTCGCCAATAAAGCACTTGGAAAACGATTGTTAAAATATGTTGAAGCACGTGACCTTGCACCCTGGGAATGCATTGGATTTTGCCCTGGACTCTTAAGAGCCTAACAAATACAATCTTTCATTCCGGGAAATGGTGGGAGAAACTTCCAAAGCTTCGTCTGAGTGGCTTCCTTGTTTAAAATCAAATACATTTTAATTTTTTTTATCCTCACTGTATAGTGGGCAACGTGCCCAAGGGTGTGGCATCCCTCTAACCTCAATGGAGCTCGTGCACAGTTATGGCTTTTGGTATCATAAAAAAACGTCATGTTTATTCGTTTCATTTGTATACTGTAATATACTCCATAGCACACGTAGAGATTTTTTTTGTATTTCAGAAATGTGTCGTTTAAAAAATACGAATTTATATATTGGCAGCTGTCCGCATACTCACCTCCGATTTAGCACGGTTGGCTAGGTAGGGTGCGAAAGAAGTTCAACACACACATACATATACATAAATACGTCACGTGGCACATATATGGAAATATTAACAGATTGGGACCAACAGAGTGAGATGTGTAATTTGTATGATTGGTGCGTGTTTACACGTGCAGGCACGAATAATAATTGGAATCTTTATGCAATATAATTATAGTCGGTTACCTATCCCAAGTATGATTTAAATAATCCATAATCGAGGTTTTTTGGGTTAGATCGAATAAATATATAAATGTGTCGTGTAAACCCGCCACCACCCGACACAGCCAACTAGTAAGGGTTGTACAACATTTACAATCTGAGTTCGACGTTTCGCCATTAATTACAACTAGCTTCATCAGGCAACAGCCAGATTTGTTGTTGCTTGGCTCTCCAACACACCGGTGTGCTGTACTAGTCACGAATTGGCACGTTCTGTTTACGTGACAACCCTTACTAGTTGGCTGTGTCGGGTGGTGGCGGGTTTTAACAACACATTTATATATTTACGCGATCTAACCCAACCCCCCCCCCTCTATTATGATTTAAATCGTCAATGTTGGGATCGCTGGTGAAACTGTACACACGGTATAACAGTATATTTTGTATTGACTTTGTATACAGTGTTGCATATTAGGGGCCGTAACAGTGCATTTATGTTTTTGTAAACGTTACATTGAAAAATGTCGCAGTGAATTGCAAAAGCAGACGTGTGCTCGTGTAAAGCACATGAGGTCCGTTTCCATCGATCCCTGAGTAGTTATCATGTGATTAATGTTTCGTTTTCTTCTCCTTTTGCTTTGCAGCTGCGGGCTGATGTTGTGCCCAAGACTGCAGGTAAGGAACGGTCCCACCTTGCACATTAGGTTTGTGAGTGTGCGAATGTCGTGCAGTGAAAAGTTGCTGCATGACCACACTAGCAACTTGGGGGTTCTAAACTACTGACCTATTTTTTTTTATTTTAGCAGGTAAGGCCCACTGAGCTATGCAGATCTTTTTCAGATGCGACCTGGCCACAAATGATTAGCTCAACGAAGTGGCTCATCACGTGGAAATTTAAAGCAGCCAAAAGCTCTAAACGCGCGTTTCTAAATGTGGAGGGGAAAACCAAAGGAAGACCTGGAGAAAATTCTACACGATTACGGGGAGTGAGAACACGCAAATTACAAATTTACGAGCGTCAGGGTCGGGATCGAACCCACGCCCGACTGCATACTGGGCGAGGTAGTTAACATCTCGCCACCGCGGCGATCTTGGCCATGCACACCAGTGGCAATTGATACCTGTACTTGGTCCGACCCTCCTCTAGGTTGATTCAGCCTAAATTGAGTACCTCAGAATTGTTTTTTTACAGGAGGAAACCGATGAGCTACAAGCCATTTTTCACAGATGTCCAGTGGGGGTGGTTAAGAAGGTTACAACATCAACAAACATGGCAAAAACCACGATACGAGTGCAAAGTATAGGAAAGGTAAACAACTTAAACATATACAAATAAAACTCATTATTAGTTTGTTATCTTAGCAGGTAAAGCCCACTGAGGAGTACCTGTTGCAGTCAACACCTAGTAGGAGACAGGCCAAGTGGCAATGCATGCGTGTTGCGGGCTGTTTCACTCGCGTGTGTGAGTTATTGTGGCCTTGCAGGCGCTAACAGCACATTCAAGCATTGGCCTGCAGTCCACATGGGGATCTGCGTGTGTCGGTTGTGTAGTATTTGGAGCTTTGGCATAGCAAGTTCGATTCTCTGCCCAGTAAACTACCAGTTGCAATTGGTATCTAAATTTGGTCTGGGTATCCACTAGGGCGAATCGGCCCATGATGGGTAACACGTGTGATGGCATCATGAACATACGCGCTACCTAATGCGTGTTCACGAGTAACATCTGTCCCGAATTCTGTGCGTGCTGCCCTGTTCATTATGATGCCATGTTGAAATGTGAAAGTATCATTGTCCTAGCGAAATTTGGGATGCTGCCATCGATGTGATTTACTTTGTACAATGAAGTCCTCGTTGTACTCGATTGACTCCAAATGGATGATGGGCTGAGTCAACAATGTCCGACCAGGATTAGAATTTGCAACCTTCCACCACAGCGATGAAATGTGCAGTGGACACCTACAGGCTATCTGCCCCATAGATTGTGATGATGATGACAACGCCCACCACAGTGGCACGTGACCCCAAACAAGTTCAAGGTTATTTTGTTTAGAACTCAGGTGAGAACTCAAAGAGACCAGGACAGTCTCAAACACCAATCACAGTACAATTACACCGCACAGTATTTAAACCAAGGCCGTAATTATAATATATATTGGGGGGGGGGGGCACACCCCCCCCCCCCCCAATATTCAGATATGCTCAATATTCAAATATGCTCAAAATGTCCCCCCCCCCAATATATTGCTATAAAAATAATTGCTATGCTATGTAAGTAAAAAAAAACAATTTGCTATACCTTGGCCACAATATCTGGACTTGTCTTCATATAAATAAATGCATAGATTTATGTTTATATTATTGTGGTTATGATTGTACTTTATTAATCCCTAATCTCTGCCATTACATACAATGAACAAGAAAAAGGGCAATGTAATACAATACACTATTAGACATTATTGTAAAAAATAAATAAAAAGTCCATCCCATGTGAATTTTTTAATATTTTAGGCAGGAAATGAGTTTTCAAATTTAGATATTTTTCTGGGTTGGGACCCCCAGACACCCTGGAAGATGTGGTCCCCCCCAAGGTTGACTCCATGGCTACGGCCTTCGATTTAAATAGCTCATTTTCACTTCGTTGCTTGTGCCATACGTCATCTTTAACCAAAGGGATCGCCTTCTGAATTATATTAAGTGCAGCGACGTACCACGCCTGGCCCAGGGCCAGGGGTGAGTGCTGTTCTTATAACTCGTGTGCCGAAGATTACATAACTGTCATCGCAGACAGATTTTGCAACCAGCGCGCAAACTCGGACCATATAAAAAGCCGCACGGTCGCGACTGACGTTGCCGGGACTTTAATGCCCCCAATTCTGTTCGAATCTGAATGTCCAGATCGTCGCAGGAACTGAGCTATTCAACTCTGTGCCGGCTGTCTCCAATACAAGCACGATGACCGACCACTTGGCTATCCAGCCCACCTGGTGTAAATAATCAGGCCTCTTATTGTTGTTTTTGTTTTAGTACATTCTACCGCGCTCGCCTGTTTTCCATTGCAGGTTTGAAATTAAAATCAGGTGAGCAGAGCCGGGTGGGGTCAGTGTTGTAACTCGTGGAGGGCATTTAAAATATATATAATGAAAGCCGGAGTGTAAACGGCCGCACCTTCTGGCATTGAGACAACCCGCCCGACCCACCACGCCCGTGACCGCACCCCACCACTCTCGCACGCACAGACACACACACGCACGTATCTGCGCGCGTGCGTGGGCATTAGCCTGCATGTGTGTGCCTGTACGATATCCTGCGGGGGGCTATGCCTGTGCGCATCTCTGCGTATCACAATGCCCCGCGTGTCCCACGTGGGCTTTGTGTGCGCGGTTGTGCGCGTAAGGAGCGGTGAAGCAGTGGGTTCGTGCGTTTGCTGCGTCGCGAAGCCGGCATACCCAATGTTCATATCCTGTGAAAATTGAAATACATCGGCGGCAAGTGTTTTTAGTACCTGTGGTGGTCCTCCTGTAAGTTGGCTCAGCCTTAAAGCGAGAGTATATGGCCTGATGCGGAGTGTACACGTGGTTGCTGTCTAAACCAGGGATCGGCAACCAATATAACAAGAAGAGCATTTTTTTTCGAATTAGGTGAAGAAAAAAACCCGCAATATTTCAAGAGCCGCAAAATATCTGAATAACGTAACGAGGCAGTCCTTAACGAGCCGCATGTGGCTCTGGAGCCACAGGTATCTGACCCCTGGGCGATAGCACAAACACAGCGTGGCATCGTGCTGACGACACCAAGCCAAAGTGCTCATGAACAGCACTTACACCAACACTCTCTATAGGCTAATTGTCCTTTGTCAACGTGACACTTTTTTACTGATTGGCCGTGTCGGGTGGTGGAGGGTTACGACACATTTATAAATAACGCGATCTAAACCCAAAAACGTTGATTATGAATCTCTATAGGCTGTATGGAGATATTTGTTGGTGTGTGTGTGTACGGAAAGCAATGTTGTGATGGTGAGTGCCCTATCTTTGATCTCGGCAACTCCACTCGCAATCAGAAGATCTTTGTGAGTTCAAAATCCCGAGGGAAATCCACATTGGTTGTCCTACTGAGAGACTGGTCTCTTCCGTAGCAATACAGACATTTCCGCCACTAGCTTCAGTCCACCCACGTCAATTAGCAACACCCAATGCTCATTTCAGAGTGGAAGTTCGATGCCTGGCATTGCACGCAAGTTGCAGTTTTTACTTAGCCTGGGCTTCCCCTAGGTCAACTCGGCCTGAATTCAGCTCCCAGCGTGTTGTGTAAATGCTATCACTGGAGAGGCTTGGTGGCCAGCCATGCACATGACTCCTTCATGTGCCATCTTAACTATAACACGTGCTCACATTTGCCCCAATCGTCTATCAGGATAAATGTCGATCTTTATCCCTTGTGTTTATGCCCTGAGTGGTGGTGCAGTGGTTAGCGTAACCCGAGTTCGATTCCTGCTCACGACCAATAACAGTGGCGAATAGTTTAATCAGCCCTGGGCCTCCCCTAGGTCGACTCAGCCTGAAAATTAGTACCTGGCGTGGTGTGGAAACATCAGCATCGGGGGAGACAAAATTGACTGGGCGTGGTGCTGGCGTGCCGTGCGGGCCTTCGTAGGTGCTCGCCAACAGCCCTTGCATAGACAGTTTGCACAAGGCCACACGAGGGATTGTTGTCTTTGTTTATGCCCACACTTGCACGCCAATGTGGGGCGTGTGGAATTTTCCTCTGGTATGCACACTCTATCATTAATAGCCCAATGAGCAGCACTTCTGCGCAAATGAAAGCGCTCAGTCGGTCATTTTCAATCCTCGCGCTAAAATGCGCAACACGCATTAACCACAGCACGCCACCCACTTTGGACAGCGTGTCAAAGAACTTGTGACATCGTTCACGAGAGGGGCCCATCGTGTCGCGCACTCTCATAGCCCAAACCCCAGATATGGAAACATTGCGTAAGTAAATCGCACGAAACTATAAACTATTAAACGATGTTTTATTTCACCAGGTAAGGCCAAATTAGCGATGTAGCTCTTTTTCAGAAGCGACCCGGCCACAAATGATAGCTCAACGAAATGGCTTATCATGTGGAAATTTATAGCAGCCAAATAATCTAAACGCACGTTTCTAAATGTGGAGGGAAAAACTGGAAGACCCGGATAAAATCCACGCGACCACAGTGAGAGCACGCAAACTCCAAATATACAGGAATCAGGGTCGGGATCGACCGCCTGTATTCCAGGCGACGTAGTTAACATCCCGCCACAATGGCGCTGGAGTGATATTCAAGCGCTCAGTGCTCAAACGGGCATCGGATTAGTCTCATCTATTCATGACCCTGAGTGAGAGCTGGAATTTACATATTCAGTGACCAAGTGCATGCGGTCACAGAGCAAACACTGTTGGTGTTCACTTGGTGGGGATCGTATTATTTGCTCCAGAATAGGGGCCTCAGGTGGCCTTGGCTGGGAGTGGAACTCACACACTCATAATCGGGAGCTCAATACTAAACTATATCCTGGGCAAATGTGAATACACGACCGTCTAAATACGAATGGAGTGGTGGGACAGGGGTTAGAATACTATGCTCTGAACGTGATGACCCCTGGCCCCCCTTTTGCCAATCCGTATTGACCAGTACAGTGAAGTATAGTCAAACAACCCCGTGATCAACATGGCATGGGGAGGCATTTATCCAGCAGGAGGCTGACTTAGGGCTCTAACTCATACTGGTAGAAACCACCTGGTTCCACCAGCCCACAGGGGATTATTGTGTCCGTCCGTCGTGCATCAAAAAATGGGAGGGGTGGGGCTGGGTGGAGAGGGGAGGGTGGGGAGGGGCTGGGTGGGGAGGGTGGGGAGGGGCTGGGTGGGGAGGGTGGGGAGGGCCTGGGTGGGGAGGGTGGGGAGGGGCTGGGTGGGAAGGGGAGGGTGGGGAGGGGCTGGGTGGGGGGTGGGAGGGGCTGGGTGGGGGGTGGGAGGGGTGGGGCTGGGTTGGGAGGGGTTGGTCACCCCGTGGTGCCCTTATAAAACTCAACGTCGGCTTGTGCCCGTCCTCACAGTCGGCCATATTTGCGGAATATACCACGCCACCATTGACCCTGGCCATTGACCGAGCAACCCAACGTTCCTACCAGCGCCCTCCGCAGGAATGTGTTATTTAATTAATAAAACATACAATCTATATACACAATGGAGTAACTCCCCTACATCCCTATAAAAACTACGCCCATGAAGCAATCATCGATTATTAAACAGTTTGAATTTTCACAGCCGTTAAAGTCGTGCGGTTGAATGCCGACGTTCTGTAACAGATAGAGTAACTTATGCCAAAACAAAAAAGACTCGGAAAGCTTGAGTGATCTTGAACAGAAGCCTTCAAAACAATCACGGCCGATGTGCTGGTGGAACACCCGGGGGAGTCTTGAACATCCATGCGATGTGTGCTTCGCCAATGCCTTGGCAGATACACGGCGAGTTGAAAGGGATGATATTCGGGTGATATAGTTTCACACTATTTGTAAGTGCGACATTATCATATGCATTTCAAGGTCGCATTCGTTACACACAAAGTGATTGCCACAAATGAACCACAATTATTTTGCTGATCTCGTCAAGGGAATAAACCATCATCACGTGAACTCCGGTCATCCTCGCAGCGGATTTTGGCTGGCCATCGAACAAAGATGGTCGCTGCATCGCACACTTTCGCATGTGTTTCTGCGGCCGTCTGGAATGCTCTTCCTGCCGATATTAGGAAGCCATTGGAGCTATGCAAGTTTGAAAACTTATTTCTTTAAAACTGCTTTTTGTGTTTAGTTTTTTTACTTCCCCCGCACCTCCGATTAGCAGGCTTGGCTATGTATGGTGCAAAAGAAGTTCAATACACATACAAAGTGTGTGCGTGGTTATAGTTTTAGCTACCTTTATTATTTATTATTTCGCTTGTTTATCTTCTTGGTTCTTTCGGTAAAGTCACGTAGAAGGGAAATAAAAAAAAATACGCTTGTTTAATCCAGGAAAGTCTCACCGATTTCTCATGACTCGTTTTCAAGAGTGGCGGGGAAGAGAGGCGGTGGTGGGGCGATAATGATTGCTATATGTCATCCTAATTCAGTAATTTTCGGGTAATTAAAAAATATATAAATTTGGCCTGCTCTTTTGCGAAAGACGTCACGGCATCTGTAAAGTCCACTTTCAAGCGGATGGCGCGTATTTTAATGGTTGAAACGCACCGCCATGTTAATGTTAGGTCAAACCTGCTGTCTAATTATAATTAATAAATAATTACAGTATAATGTATTATCATGGATACCCCGGTGCATATAGCCAGGCAGTGGTGGCTATGCATGTGGCCTATAATACAGCACTGGAGGTGACGGTTGGTAGATCACACAAATGTTGTGGAACTCTCTTCACATGTCCATCTGCATGGGTATCGAGTGTTGCACCCGCGCGCGCGTGGGTTTTAGCCAGGTATAATAAACACTCATTAATTGGCAGAACACATCTTAAAATAAAAGCCCAATTTTGAATCCCCCTGCAAGAGTCTGACGACTCAGTGTAGCCTTCCTGGATAAATAATAATAATTATTATTATGACTACATTATGCCAAACAATTTAGTCATATAACAGGATATGGCTCAGTCGGTGGGGCAGCACCTGGCTGCAAACATGCAGTTGATTTCATATCCTGGCCAATGTTAGCTCAGCCCTACCATCATCACTCTAGGGTCAATAAAGTAACTACTATCTGGTAAAACTGCACAACTTGGTGGCAGACTGGTTCTTGCCATAGTAATTCCCAACTGGAACATGATGAGCCAGTAGTCCATGGAGCATAAGGGCATTATTATATTTGGTTTATATAAGTGAAGTTATATAGCTTCAAAAGCGGAGAGAATTAATTGTTCATATGATCTCTCACTCAGTTAGATAAATAATACTCTACCATGTCCACAATTGTTTGCTCCTCCAAGAAGCAGAGACTGGATTCCGCCCGGTACACTCTGAATCTGGAGGCATGTGTAACAATCGCTAACGTATCGATGCGTGCGGAGAAAGCGGGTGTTGTTTTGTCTGCGCCTCTTTTTTTATAGAAAACTTCCGCGCTCTGTGCACCGGGGAAAAAGGCTTCGGATACAAGGGGTCGAAATTCCACCGTGTCATTCCGGAGTTCATGTGCCAGGTAAGACGGCGACAACTGGAGTTTGTTCTGCTGGTGCACGTCCAGAATTAAATTTTTAAAATGTCACTTTCTGCCTCTATATGTCACTACTGGGCAATGTCATTCTATAAATAATGCAATTTTTATATTTAAATACAAAAAATGAAGGCTGTTCTTTTTTTTGGGAGAGCTTTGAAAACGTATCAGTTTTCGCAGAATCAAACGCACACCAATGGGGGAGAATGTGAATCGGAAGAGGAGATGCTCTCGCTAGCAAAGCATCTTCAAGACGATATTATCGTTGTGTAATGAGATTAAAAAACGACTTTGAAGTCGCGTCGTTAGGTGCGCCCCAGTGAAGTTACGAAGGTGCTCACGCTTGTAAATGTGCAGTACAGTAAAGCCACTAAATCACTCCTCATCGTGACTTTTTAAAGTGCCTTTGTTGTATAATAAAAACATAAAACCAGTTTGAGACAGCCCCGGACACACAGCCTAGGTGAATGTCTTCACGATGAGGGCTGTCTAAAAAAAACACTTTCAAAAGTCACGATGAGGAGTGATTTAGTGACTTTACTGTAGACTTTAAAGGCGTCACACCTTGGTAACGTCACTAGAGAGCACGTGACCGGGACTTTAAAGTCAGGATAAGTGCTGTGTCTTTTTGGTCTGTGTCTTCCATCCAATCAGGGTGGGAAACCCACAGCACTTGTGCTGTATCTGGCCCGCGACTTCATGTAATGTGGCCCACACACACATAATGCCTGCTGCCACTTGAATGTGGCCCACGAACTATACATATCCATCCCAGCAAGCGTCTTAGCAGCTCCGATTGAGTACTCGAGGGGTAGACATTTGACCTGGTAACGCTGGGTTTTAAATGTTATCGCGCTTAGTTTACTGCTGTCACTGCTAAAGGTTGTGTGAAAGTCCTCAATGGGCCCTCAGTAAGCACAACATTCCCCACCCCTACGCTCAATGTAAAGACCAAGCAGAGAAGTATGTGATTCTTCATGAGTTTTTTTTTTTTTGTGTACGGTGTTGTGGTTTTAACCATTTTTAGAATGACCGCACCTCCGATTAGCACGCTTAGCTACGTATGGTGCAAAAGAAGTTAAACATGCATTGATACAAGATTCCAAACTTTCGTGACTGCAGGAATTACTCTTTGGTTCTTTCGGTAAAGTCACGTAGAAAGAAATTAAATTATATTTCCCAAGTTTACGATGTTTGTTTTCTCATTCATTTGTACCTGATGATGATTGCTTGTGTTGCAATGGAAACGTGGTATTCTATTATTAGTTAATATAATTTATTTCTACGTGACTTTACCGAAAGAACCAAAGAGTAATGCATATATACATTTTAATGTTTTAATTCATGCGACTTTTGGAGAATATGGTACATCAACCGGTGATCAGCCCCAGTCTTCTCTGATGTTTCACCACTGCTTTTAAGGCGCTTGGATGATCATCCTGACGGTGGCGTTTTCATGCCACTGATGTAGAGTTACGTAAACTGCACTCTGCAGAAGACAGCAGCTTGCTTTGGTAATTCTCTGCAGGAACTGACCATCTAAAGCGCTGCCGCTGGCTCTGCGGCAAGCAGGCCGAGTGCCAGGCTATCTGGCCACAGCCCACGTGTGTGGACTGTGAAGAAAACTATTAAGAAGAAGAAGAAAAATACGGTGGGGGGAGGGGGGCCAAAGTAACCACCAAAAAGTGGATTTTAATGCGAGATTGGATGCATGTATTGAGGACATGGCTGGAAAGTATTCATCCAACACGTAAGAGCCCGATTCATGTGTTGGTGAATGTTTTTGTTTTCATATCATTAAAAGCGTCCTTTTTTCCTTCAGTTGTATTCCAATAGCGCTATTGGTAAAATGTAATGAGAATAATTATGCCATCAGAACCCTCGTAGTGCAGTCAATACTCCCGAGTGTTAGAGAATGGCCCACGGAAGGTGATGTCAGAGAGCTAATTCCGAGATCCCTTCAAGTTACCGTTTCACCCACACTCGGGGTGCAACACATTTCCACATTCCCTGAGATGTTCCATGTGTCCCACTGGCAGTCAAAACAACTCGTTTTTAATCCTCGGAAACTGAAATGTATTAAAATGAAGGTGAAAAAAATGCCCGAATTTATTGTGATGGTTTTTTTTTGTGTGGGTGCACTGTTATGGACATTGAAACTGAAAGTAGGAGAAGTAGAAGATCAAACAAAACGAGCTATCGATAACCACAATTATCATCTTCTTGGTTCTTTCGGTAAAGTCACGTAGAAGGGAAGTAATAAAATAATAAAAATAAAACATAATAAAATAAAATAATTCTCACGACGTTTCGGCTACAACGCAAGCAGCCGTCTTCAGGTGAAGAATGAGACACTCTCAAAGTTATGTGGAAACCCTCCCCGTAGAGGCGGTTAAATTTCGATTTAAAGCTTTCGTGACTGCAGGGATTCATCTTCTTGGTTCTTTCGGTAAAGTCACGTAGAAGGGAAGTAATAAAATAATAAAAATAAAACATAATAAAATAAAATAATTCTCACGACGTTTCGGCTACAACGCAAGCAGCCGTCTTCAGGTGAAGAATGAGACACTCTCAAAGTTATGTGGAAACCCTCCCCGTAGAGGCGGTTAAATTTCGATTTAAAGCTTTCGTGACTGCAGGGATTCATCTTCTTGGTTCTTTCGGTAAAGTCACGTAGAAGGGAAGTAATAAAAGAATTGCAATTATTATTATTATTGTACGTGGAAGAACCATAGGAGTTGGCTCAACTACTCTATAGCCAAAAGCTTGTATAATAGCAAAATAAAGAAATAGATAAATACATTTAGCAAACTTTGCCAGGCCATGGCTAAATTTCCCCCACCCCCCCCACATGTGCAAACCGCTAAGGTTGGAGCTGTGGTTTGGCTTTAGGGGTTGCCGCCCGTGCAGTGCGACACTAGAAGTGCCTTCAAATCCCATCGGAGGGCACCGTTGGCTATGAATCATAGCTCTGCATAGCGTGCTGCTGTTTTTTTATCTATCAGAATCCCAACTCAGACAGCCTTTGGGTTTTTTTTTATCATTTAGGCTGTTGGAGATGATTGTGTGTGGGGCGGGATAGTGTAGTGGTTAGCGTGCAGCACTATGAACCCTGGCCACCCGAGTTCGATTCCCTCTCACGGCCAACACCAGTGACGATTATCTGAACCGGTCCCGGGCCTCCCATCAGTCGACCCAGCCTCAAAATGAGTACCTGGTGCGGTGTGTAAACATCGCCTCTGGGGAGACAAAGGCGGCCGGGCGTGGTGCTGGCCACCCACTCCGTTCATAGGTGCTCGCTAACAGCACGTGCCCCAACAGTCTGTTAAGCCTATACGAGGGATCTTTGTCTTTTTCTTTGTTTTTCCAAGCAGGGTATGTGTGTGTTTGTCTTTTAACCAGTCCTTAAGTCTCCCCTAAGTCGACTCAGCCCGAAATGGCGTGATGCTGGCCACCACCCCATTCGTGTGCCGCTCCGGCCTTCATAGGAACTCGCGATCAGTCCTTGCCCCAAAAGTTTAAGGCTATATGGGGCATCTTTGTCTGTGTACTTGTCCATAGATACATTTTTAGTTTCTAGGAAAATTACACAACGATATGTTCAGTAAAAAAGAAACCCTACCCACACTGTTTCTATATTGGCCGGTTTGGCGGGGCGTGCCTGCTTCACTTTGCAGACACAAGTCACCATTCCCGAATGCAAAGCCAGCCACAACAATGAGCAGTGCAGTTGCTCATTAAAACTGTTATTTATTTAAATATACTGCATATGCTTGGATTATTAATATCACCAATTATTGCACCACCTGTCCCAGTATGGCTGTGGGAGTTATGGTGCGAGGTGAAAGCCCATTGAAGTGAATTTTGGGGTCTGTTTTTCAAGCTGTTGTGAAATTGCGATTCAACAAAATGGATTTTCAAAAGCGTGTGCTCTTTGGGCTCCCACTCGAGTTAAATGGGATACTTTTGGGCTCGTATGCCCCCCCCCCCAACAATCCGCCAGTCCTGCTCCCCTCTGCAGGAAGTAGGATGACAACGCTGGCGTGAAAAACGCTGCACTCAGAGGAGGCTTATTAACGTGGTGAGGGTCGCTCGACACGGCTGTCAGAAACCCACCGCTGCTTAGGTGCTGAGTTCTAATCTGGGGTTTTGGCCATCCATATAAAGTATTGGCTCTGAACATTAAACAGATTGTTGTTTTTTATCACGATGATGAAACAATAAGAATAGATTTTACCCTTTCTGGAAATACAACGGGAGGTGTTAAGATGTTAAAATACCAAATAGATACTTTTTTCAGGGCATCAAGTCTGCATTAACCACACGTACTCGTGGCAAAACATGCAAACACCCACGCACCCTTCTTTATGGCCTTATCTCACCAGTGTTAGACTAGCCAACGTCTAAAGGCGAACAGCACAAAGACAATATACGTATCATAACATTTATAGCTCGACTTGAGCGAGTTATATCTATGGGAAACTTTTTTCCAGTATCAAAATGATGAATCAAGAAGAATAGCTTTCATCCTTTCTCGCAAAAAAATACAGGTAGTCTCCGAGTTACGATGGTCCAACTTACGATATTTCGATCTTACGATGGCGATAGTGATACGACAAAATTGCCATCAACAACCTTAACATCGTTCAAGTATGCAGACGACGGACAGAATCTTGGTGACTACAGTACAATATGATACGTTACGATACGTTCAATGCATGTATGATCCGTAGCTTTAGCGATTTCATTTTAGGGTCACCACGATACGATACGTTCAATTTTTCGATTTAAAGCTTTCGTGACTGCGTAAAGCTGACCTGAAACACGGTAGGACAAACACCTCAGCCGTGGCAGATCACTGTTACAACTCAGTGGGCTCACATGATATTGACTTCTCCAAAACAGAGGTTCTCTGCAAGCCATCTGGCTATCATGAGAGATTCGTTCATGAGGCGATCCACATATACAAACACAGAGACAATTTTAACCGAGAAGATGGATTCTGGCTTAGCAATCATTGGAAGGACGTAATAAACCATTTCGATACACATTAGGATGTGTAGAATAATACATAGTATTATATTAAAATGTATACGGTATAGGTCGGTTTACAGCAATACAGTATATAATTTAATGTTGGGTTTATCTATGGCAGTATATAGTACGGTATATGCTCGTGTGATGTAAGAGAATAAAGTTTAGATGGAAGCATATTATAGAATTTTTACGACGTAGAATTGTAATGTATTACTTGCTGTTAGTAACTCAGCTTATTGTAGAGTATAGTAAGTATACTGATGGTGCTATGCAGTTTATACTTTAGTTTTTTATGTAGTTTATACTTTAGTTTTCTACGTGGTTGTTGAGTAACTGCAGCTACATATCATTAACATTCCTTTCCTTTGTTACTGCTAATCCCTGCACCCCCCCTTGGTGCTGCTGATCCTGCATAATGCATGGGCATAATATGACTTTGAAACCCCCCCGCCCAACGCCTACGCATTTTCCATGAATATGCTAAATTCCTCTTCATATGCACATTCTTTTTGTTAAGGCGCTCTTCCACCTCCAACGCAGCTTATATATAAGCTCCTAGTTTGGCAGTGTCTCATTCTTCACCTGAAGACGGCTGCTTGCGTTGTAGCCGAAACGTCGTGAGAATTATTTTATTTTATTATGTTTTATTTTAATTATTTTATTACTTCCCTTCTACGTGACTTTACCGAAAGAACCAAGAAGACGATACGTTCAATGCATGTTAAAAGTTTCTATAGCAGATAGGATTGTTTCCTGAACAAACTTTCCATTAAATCGCAGTTCGTATAGGTAGGCTAAGAATTTACCTTGTTTTTTTAACTTTACATTTTTCTGTGCAATACAGTATTGTAATTAATAAATACATACAGTATATCGTTTATACAGTACGCTACTGTAAATTGCTCTGTTTTGCTAAATTATCACCATTCTTTAAGACTCCTGAGTAGGCTAGGCCATCTTCGACTTACGATATTTTCGATTTACGATGGGATCGTCGTCACGCATCTCCATCGTAAGTCGAGGACTACCTGTACACATTTAGTTTTACAACGTAGACTCGCCATCTAGTGGTGGATAAGTGGTAATTACAGTGACTTCACAGGCGTTGCGAGACACATTCCCAAGGACTGTAGTGACAGCGGAGGCAGCACTCCGCTGCAGTGTGGGTGCGCATTCGGAATGGGAATGTCTTTTCCAGATGCCATTGACGCTGACGGTGCAATTGGAATGAACAACTCAGTTCTAGATTTGAAGTTTTTGTGACTGCAAGGATTCATACTCTTTGTTTTTTCCCGGTAAAGTCACGTAGGTAAAAAATAAAATAAATGAAAACAACTAAATTAAATCACGACGTTTCGGGCGCAACACAAGCATCCGTCTTCAGGTGTGGACAACGTCGCGAAAGCACAACCGCTTAAGTGTGTCTAAGAGATGGCTGTATAGAGGAATTATATAGTCAGTTATATAGTTATATATATAATTCCTCGTCGCAGCCATCTCTTAAACAGCTCAATTGGTGGCAAAGGAAAAACAAGAGATGCGACTCCCACCAACAATTAAAAGGAAATAAAACTCGGCCTCATGTATCTTTGTGCTTCAGAATGAATCTCCAAGACTTGAAGGGCCAGACTAACTCACCACCGAGACGCTTTAGGGGCCGTCCATAAATGCCGTCACGCACCTAGGGGGGGGTCAGACATTTGTGACGGTGTGTGACGAGGGGGGGGGGGTTGAGAAATGTGACGTCACGTAAAAATGCGCAACTTTAAATAAATATAGACAACACGTTCTACTTAATTAAATAGACTTTTTATATAAATGTTTTCTCCTACAACATCAGAGTGCAGCGGCACATTAAATACGCACTAAAATGGCAATAGTTTAAAGCGATTCGAAGCATATTTTATTTGGGGGGGGGGGGCAGAGCTTTGTGACGTCATATTTGAGGGGGGGTCTGACTTTTTGTGACGCCGTGTGACGAGGGGGGGGGGGGGTCAAAAATCGTCCAAAATCGCGTGACGTCATTTATGGATGGCTCCTTAGGGTTTAAAGTTAACATTCGATTTTAGATTGACTGACCGAGGCGCCTCTAATATTCCTAGAGTTCAGCCTTAATTCCTGAAATCAAGGCCTACAATGCAATAGCACAAGGTGCAATTTTGTCTGACGCAGCATTGAATGTAAAGCAGAAAAATAATATAATGGACCGCTATTCCACCTATTTTTTTAATATTGTGTATCATGTTAAATTACTTTGCTGCACAGTTTGTATTAGTTAAGTAATTAAATTCAGAGACACTAAGCAGAGGGATTCATTGTCAGATATTTAAGTGCAATGCAGCTCTGGTTGTCCAGAGTAAAGGTGAATAGGTTGGCATAGCACTGTGCCTCATGTGGTGAGAGTGACGCAATGATGGGTTGCTATTGCACATTGCTCAACATTGCGTGCAATCGGGTCTATATCTCTTCACCTTTGTCAAATTGGCGACCGCTCGTGTCATGTGTGAATGTGCAAGCTTTTGCGGTGACTGAAAATAATCGGGCCAGACTCCAGGCTAAAATAACCATCATTGGTGCTTTGATAAATAAGTATGGATAGTGTTATAAAATGACAGATAACGTTACCTTGGAATTGCATTTGAGAGACGGAGGGAGGAACGTGGGTTAGAGAAAATGCTCAGGTAAGAGACGTAATTCAAATTGTATAGAAAAGTAAGTTTGACTTGGGTAGGACACGTCACGAGAAGGGATAGCCATTGGTCAAGAGTGATCACGGAGTAACAGTCAAGGGATGCAGTGCGTGCCAAGAGGATGTCCACGCTGAGGAGATGGAGCAATACAGTCAGCTTTGTGTGCAGGTGTCCATGTGAAGCACGGGGAGCTGACGGTCAACTGCTCAGAAGAATGAAGGTAGCCGATGGCTGTGCCCTGCTGATTCCTGCTGTCGTTTTCCTCAGGGTGGAGACTTCACCAAGGGCAACGGAACTGGGGGCAAGTCCATCTACGGCAACAAGTTTGAGGATGAGAACTTCACGCTGAAGCACGTGGGCCCGGGTGAGAATAAGATTCGGTTGATAAATAACACATTCCCGCGGAGGGAGCTGGTAGGAACGTTGGGTTGCTCGGTCAATGGCCAGGGTCAACCGCGGCGTGGTGTATTCCGCAAATATGGCCGACTGTGAGGGCCGGCACAAGACGGCGTGAGTAGGTTAAACGTTGAGTTTTATAAGGGCACCACGGGGTGACCAGCCCCTCCCCACCCAGCCCCACCCCTCCCACCCCCCACTCAGCCCCACCCTCCCCACCTAGCCCCACCCCACCCTCCCCATCCAGCCCCTCCCCACCCAGCCCCTCCCCACCCTCCCCTCTCTACCCAGCCCCACCCCTCCCATTTTTGGATGCACGATGGACGGACACAACAATCCCCTGTGGACTGGTGTAACCAGGAGGTTCCTACCAGTAAAAGGGCTTTTGTAGATGACTGTCAATGTGTGTGCCTTTGATCGTATTTGAACTTGCCATTTTCATTGCTGTGGAGATGCATTTGTGTGGTGTGTGGGTACCTCCACATCTTTACAAGAGTCCTCGTGTTGGCCCTGCCACCAGTGGCGTGAACAAGCAACGTCAGGGCTGCAGCTTTAACTTTAAATCTCATCTGCCTATGACCAAATTGCCTGGACTGTTGATCCCATCCGATTGTAAACAAGTTTGAGGATGAGAACTTGTTTGATGTACATTAGTGCCCTTCGCGTGGAGGAGGGGCATGTGGTGGATTACAAAGAAATGGGCCTTCGTTTCTCATTCAATATTCTTTTCGGAACGCTGCTAGCTGGAACGCGTGACGTCCCCCACACGGTTCCGTAATTCGATGCCATGGACATCCGTGCGTCATTGAGGTTTATCGTACGGGTGAGGGAAGTTAAGTCTCGGGACATCTGGCAGCCCTGAGAACTCATCGCCAGACGCACATTTTCCTGCACGAAATAAGGAGAGATGCATGTGACCGGGTGCCCAAATAATTCCTCGAACAGCTTTCCGGACTGTTCCGGCTGAAATCATGCACTTGCGTGTAACCCCGCGTGTTGCACCGCTATACACACTCTGAAATAAGCATCAACAGTCGTTGCAATTTGGATAGACCGGTCCCTGTCATAGAAAGCTATAATTGATACATCTGGTATGACTCTGGACTACCAAGGGAAATTAGCCCTGGTTTTACTGTATCCAATTTCAGATAGCAGAAACGTGACAGATTTTGAGAATTCCGAAAACATTCCCAGTGCCGCTTGATTTGCATTCTGGTTAACCTCTCAGCAGCTTTGGCTGGCCATTGAACAAGACGGACACTGCATGGTGTGCTTCCAGATGCCCTTCTGTGGCTGTCTGGAATGCTCCTCCGATATTAGGAAGCCGCTGGAGCTATGCACTTTCAATTATAGCGTGAAAACCAATTTCTTTAGAACTGCTTTTTGTGTTGAGTTTGTTGTCCTTCCCCCGCATCTCCGATTAGCATGGTTGGTGCGAAATAAGTTCTTCATACATACACAGAATGCGGTTTCATCCGGTGTCTCTTCATCTGACTGCGTGACTCCGCAGCATTTTCGACTTGCCAGTGATTCGCTCTCCTGTCTCGCAGGCATTCTGTCCATGGCCAATGCTGGGCCCAACACGAACGGCTCCCAATTCTTCATCTGCACCTGCCGCAACCAGCTGGTAAGTCCCAAGCTGCGTGCGCAGGAGCCATGCCGAAGAGGGGTCTCGGAGGTTTGCGTGCGTTCCACTTGAAGCCGGCTGGGACAATGAGTGAAGTCAATTAATCGACATGAAATTGGTAATGACACCATTCATTGTCGTCCGTTACTCAGGCCCCTTAAAATATCCTGGCCGTTGTCATTAACATGTCTTGTGACTTGTAATCTGGTGGCGCACCGCTGTAATCCAGCGTTTTGGAGGCAAGGATTCATGGATGGGATTTATTGTTTTTTTTAATGATGTACGCACCTTATATGCTAATTTTACATTTAGGCTAATCGAAGGAACAAAACTGTACAAACAAGACGAAATAACAGAAATAATATAAATGATAGTGTAAATATGAGACAAACAAGAATCGGTTTGTGACAATTAAATCACGTAGGGTTGTGAATCATGACCTGCCCGTGGGATCAGGTATATTTCTAAAGCTTACAAATACATTTCTTGGGCTGCAAGGTGGCTAGGAGATGGTCGTACATTGTTTGGGTATTGAACCCATCTGCGTGGCCCTGTAAGTGACAAGGTGGTTTTCTCCCACATACAAAACAATCCCGAACAAGGATATGGCCGTTTTAACAATCCTCCTGAAAACTGGGTCTTGAGATTCAGCGAAGCTTTTGTGAACGTTAATATCGTTATTATCCCTACTCCTCAACACTTACGTTATGCAATGAGACAAGGCAGAGTGTTGTAAATGGTTTCCAAAAATCATACTCTTAGTTCTGCATAGGTTTCTCAGGTGTGCTGTGTCGCTCTCTGATGTGAACCGAATTGAATTCAGTTCCTAAAGAAACCTAAATCATGTAAACTTAAACGAAACAATTTTTTATTTCACCAGATAAAGTCCACTGATCTATATAGATCTTTTTCAGAAGCAGACCTGGCCATAACTGATAGCTCAAAGAAATGCTTACCATTGAACATTTATAGTAGCCAAATACTCTAAGCACATGATTATAAATGTGGAGGGGAAAACCAGAGGACTTGGAGATAAATCTACACAACCATGGGGAGATCATGCAAACTCCAAATATATAGGCGTCATGGTTTGGATCGAACCCACAACCTCCTGTATACCAGGCGAGATAGTTAACATCTCGCCACCGTGGAGCCAAACATCAGGCATCATGCCGAACAACACACCTGTGCAGCCCAAAGACACCTCAGAGAGCTAAACTTTTATTAGATAAAAAAAAGACGTGTGTAACCCTGGTTCATGTAACTGACTGACTGAAACCACACTGTCTTGTGATTCTCTCATTCTCAGGCTGGATGGCAAGCACGTGGTGTTTGGGAGTGTGACCAGCGGCATGGATATCATCACCAAAGTGGAGACCTACTGGAGATAAGAAAGACGGAAAGACTTCTAAGAACATCGTGATTGCCGACTGTGGCGAAATCAATTGAAGCAAACGAATGCGAAGCACTGCATTGCCTGGCGGTGTTTGGTGAGGTGGTTTGAGTTGGCTGCTGTTTCACGCGAATAAAGTGGCCCTGTTTGAGCTCATTTCAGCCAAATGTGAGGGGAAGGTAAATTATCTCCACCAAAAGTACATCCACATGAAATGAAAGTTTGATTCAAAGCAATGTTTTTCCAGCCCCTTGACCGGACTTGCTCTACGTATCATCAGTGACAAGCTATACATACTACATGGGTTTTGAAAAATTATGGACCCGATTTGAAATCGCTATATCTCTGCAATCACGAACCGCCCATGAATGAAACTCTTACCACTTGAAAGGGCGGGGCATAGAGTTTCAAATGATGCCTCTCCCAGCGCACAAACAGCCCCTAGCCTCAGTAATTCGCAAGACACACTGCCTCAACATTGGATAGGTCGCACGGGACCCCAAGACTTGGCGCTACACTCTTGGCTCCCAAGATCCCCAAACATCACCTCACCCTGCGGCTTTGTCTTGTGGGGATACGTCAAAGACCGTGTTTTTGTGCCACCATTAGCGACTAATCTGGATGACCTCAAAAACAGAATCACGGCAGCGGTGACTTCAGTGAAAGAGGACACTTTGAGAGGCGTTTGGGACGAATTCAACTATTGTCTCGATGTTGTCCGTACAGCAGGTGGAGGGCACAGATCATTTATAAAATGGTTAGTAAAACTTGATAACTCGTTAAACCGTTTGTAACTTTTTGTGTAATTGTAACATGTTGCCATCGTGAAATATACTGCTTTGAAATTGGGTTCATACATTTTTCAAACACCCTGTACTTTGAGAACATTGGCAAAAGAGTTATCGAATGTGGCCTGCAAATACATTTAAAATTAATTATACATCACTTTTGAGACGCTTCACAAGTCATCAGCCAGTGTTCCCGTGCTCTGACAAGCATTGGGCAGTGCCCGTCATCAATGTGTAAATTCCACATTCTCATAGCCGTAGCTTGTTTCTTCACCGAAAAATATATTGAATTTAAACTGGCTGGTATTTGAACTCCTGTTTGGAAAATATCTTTCTCTGCCAGTTGAGCTTTAACCCGGAGCTTTCAGGCTGAACAACTTAAATATGTGACACTTTGATGTGGTAATACATAGGCACGGTACTTACCTTCTCAATGTAATTAAAAAAAGAATGACAATTACCGATGTATTTAATTTCTGTATCGCAGTAAACAGCTAAATTACTCCGAATGCTACAAATGCAATTACCAAGATGTTAGTTGCGTACATTTTTGTTTTGGACATTTTCACGGTTGAGGTTTTCTCAACCTGACCTTAATGTTCGACTCATCCAAGCATCCAACTCACACCGTAACAGCCAAACTGCTGATAAAAACCGCACGCAGGTTACCCAAGTAGGATAATCGCTCTCAGATTCCCGCACGACTTTGCTGCAAGGTCGTTATTTTAATTTCGATTAATTTTGACTGTGTCCGTGCTTTTTTTCTGCAATGATTCCAAAGCACAGCTTCTCCCCCCGAAGTTGGAACCAGGGTGGGCACAGTTGTGTCTCTGTACTCATCATATGACCAGCAATAAAGTAAATCAGGAAAACCAATCCAACACAATGTTTCGACTGGATTTGTTTTTGCTTCACCGTAACGACTGTGAAAAAAAAATCACCCTGAATATAAGCGGCATCACTTAGTCATATTACGGTATATGTTTTCACATTTATGCTACGAAGCTATGCGATGTTTTTTCGGGTTATACTCCTGCGTGTTGTTCAGCATGATGTCAAATGTTACATTCCACGTGCTTAGAGACGTTTCATATTCGGCTCTTGAAGCTCCCAGCAAGTGGAGGGAGACATTGGACATTATGCCGAACAACACGCGGCACAACTTTAAAAAACATTGGAGAGATATTAACGTAGTCATTTTGCCAAATCAGTCCAGTTCATTTTATAGAGGTCCTTCGTTTAATCATGTGACTGGATTTCCTGTAAACTATATTTTGATAACCAGTTGAAAGTAAGACATTTTTATCTAATTTGAAATCGGCACTATGACATATGCACATTATGTGCTGCTCTTGCAAATGAGTATGTCACGTGATATTTGACGTCAACTTTCCTCAGACTCCTCTTTGGTAACGCTGAGCAAGTGTGGCTGAGATCCTGGATAGCCACTTGTAATTACCGACTATAATCACCCAGAAATGTCTGTCCGTCCCGCGCGTGACGTCATTCCACATGAGGCCCACCCCCCACGTGACGTCACACCACATGAGGCCCACCCCCTCATTCATATTCATGAGTGGGTAGATTTTTACACTAACTTAGAGGAAGGTCGTGCTGAATTAAATAATTTATCACGCAAAGTCGCTTCAAATATGACGTTTCTTTACAGAAAGTGACGGTAAAAATAAATCTACGCAGCACAGTGCTACATCCAGTGCGTGACGTCACTGCAAAAGAGGCCCACCCCTCCTTCATTAATATTCATGTCCGCGTGGAACTTTACACTAACGCACAAGAAGGTAGCGCACTCCACATGCCGCACCCCTCCCCTCATTAATAACCATGAGCGGGGGACGTCGTTGCACATGCCGCACCCCTCCCCAATAACCATTAGCGGGTGACGTCACTCCACATGGGGCAACCCCCCCTCATTAATAATCATGTTAACGACCTCCTGAGGTCGTTAACATTTCGCCACCGTGACTCAAGAAGTAAGTGTAAAGGTGCAGATCTGCAATTACTTGGTTTAACACGTAGACTTGTGCGACCAATATCCATAATATAGTTTTTTTGGGGTTAGATTGTGTAAATATAAATGTGTCGTTAAACCCGCCACCACCCGGCACAGCCAATTAGTAAGGTTTGTCACGTGAACAGAACATGTTAATTCGCTACTAGTACAGCACACCGGTGTGTTGGAGAGTAAATCCACATTTACAATCTGAGTACGCCGTTTAGCCAGTGATTACGCGCTATACGACGTTTCACTTCAAGCTAGTTGTAATTAATGGCGAAACGTCGTACTCAGATTGTAAATGTTTTGCATTTGCTCTCCAACATACGAATTTGCATGTTCTGTTTACGTGACAAACTTTAATAATTGGCTGTGTCGGGTGGTGGAGGGTTTAACGACGCATTTATATTTACGCAATCTAACCCCCAAAAATATATAGATAGAAATGACTGCAATTACTTGCTCATGCTATGGCTGGCAAATGGCCTGTCAAGTTTGAGTGAACTCTAGTCTAGAGTGACTCTCGAGGGTATTTTGGTCTACTCTTCCATGCTAACCAGATATTGCAGAAGAGGGAAAGTGCCCACACATGTTTTTAAAACACAGGAAATCTGCTTATCGACCTTGGTGTGCCCGTGTATACTGTTAGGGGGCAGAGGCAGGTGGGGGAAGTTAAGAAACATGCCCGCTATTTCATTAGCCGTGCCGGGAGATCGGCGGTGTGCAAGTTCAGTGTGTGTTTACCACAGCGACATCCGTGACTTTAGTTAGTCGTTCTGTATTATCTTCTAAGGACATTCCCTAACTTGATGTGATGCTTTGGTGTATGTAAGCACTCGAGCAATACGTGTCTTTACTTCGTGACTGAACTCCGATTGTGCATTTGGAATTGGTCGAAATCCCCCCCAAAATTATGAAACGTTGAATTATCTCATGAGAACACAGTTGCACAACGGGCACTGAACCTTGCGTTTGGACCATGTTCAGTGTCCGTTGCATGACACTGGAAAGTTCTTCATGATACGTGTCAAGGTGTTGCCTTGTTGCTCACTGCAACCTGCAGTGAGAAACGTGATCCATACACCATTGTACTGTATAGGGCATGGTAGTAGTTTTTTTTACAGCAACCTACACTAAGTGGAACCTCTCATTGAACATGTAAATAACCTGTCATATGTACAAAAGCTGTAATTTAGTGTGTATGCAATCCATGTGGATGGTTCAACAGGCTAGCAATGGTCATGTAACTACACTGAGCCAACTCAATTCCTGGCAGCCAACTGGGATAAAAATAATAATTAGTCTTTATGCAGAGTGATGGCCATGGCAGGCACAAATTAAATGTCAACATTTTTCATGTACAGTACTTATTTCGGTTGGCACTTCTAAAGTACAAAATATCTGGGGCATATCATGATAAAAATACATCTAAATAATGTGTGATATTTAAATGCATATGGCACTTAAATTCCTACAGCAACTCAAAGCACCTTACATGTACAGTATGTATGTATGTTGAACTTATTTCGCACCGAACGTAGCAAACCGTGGTAATTAGACCTACGGCAAAGGTCATCATCTCATTGCATGATCGCATCTCAAACATTCAAAGGGCACCGCCAGCAGCAGCTGTTCCTGTGTGGCACAAGACGATTCAGACAGGCTTGAAAGTCGGCATATGTATGCCAGAAAGGGAGATGATTGCTTCGTGCAATTTTTCGAATGTCAAAAAATGTATCCTGACGCCAGCGCACAGTAGCCGACTCATTGAGAATTGCATCATGTGATGTTAACTATCCACTCTAAAGCAGACGTGCATCTGTACGGTCAATACACCCGTGGTAAAATATCAGGGAGGCCGCTGGATTAGAACCGTGAACCTCTGCAACGAGTGGTGAATTTGCTACCAATGGGCCATGTCCATGTATCTACATGTACAGCATTGCCTTGAATGGACAAAAACCTGAGACATTTCGTTCTGAATTCTTCGTGACAGCTTGGCTCAGGCTTGGCTCTGGTTCAAGTGAGAAGGCTCAAAGTCACACTTAACTTGAGCCGGCTCTGGGTATGGTCCCAGCCATGCTCAAAATTTCCATGAGCAGAGCCTGAACCATATATCAATGACGAGCCACAGTAGCGTAGTCACTACATTATCAGCTCAGGGGGTGTTGCAATCGGTCAGGTGGGGCCCCAATATTTGATTAGTCTCGCACGGCACATTGGCACTCGATTCGGACTTGAATCCGGGATCCACGCATTTGGAGCCCTCAAACGGCAAACATGAATTCTTTGATAATACAGGTTTTTTTTGGTTTAGATCGCGTAAATATATAAATGTGTCGTTAAACCCGCCACCACCCGACACAGCCAATTAGTAAGGTTTGTCACGTAAACAGAACATGCCAATACACAGGTGTGCTGTACTCGAAACGAATTGGCATGTTCTGTTAATGTGACAAACTTTACTAATTGGCTGTGTGGGGTGGTAGCGGGTTTAACAACACATTTATATATTTACGCTATCTAACAAAAAAAACCTGTGTTATGGATGATATTGGTTGCGACAGCCTACGTGTTAAACATTCAATCTTTGGTTCACCTAAACAGCACTGACGTGGCTTTCAGCGAACGAGCGCGCGCCCCGTGCGAACGAAGTGTGGTGCCACCTGATACCTTCCCCCTATTCGCCCCAAGCCAGAAGATTCTGCTTGTCTACCCGGTGGCACAATGATGACAACGTCGAAACAAACATGCGACGCGCAATTTGAGGAATCCAACCGCGTTACTGTTCTAGATAAATGTTAATAAAACGTGGAACGTAAATGAAACCACTTTCATAAAAGTAAATTTAAACCGCGTTTTAAATACGTCTTAGTTATTTTTTTAACAATGTTGTTGAAAAGTATCTCATGGTGGTTGTCAAGGGGGCCCCAACTCGTAATCTTGGCCACCAGGAGGGGCCAGGGCACCCGCAGACCCCACGCTCATCACGCCACTCATGCATCTGTGGAAGCAACTGAGCGGCTTCTGCGTGAGTTGAGCTGCGTTAGGAGGCCAAACGAGAGTTGAGCCGTGACTAAGAATATGGTCTCGGAAAGAGTTGCAGATTTCCCAGGATAGTGATCTCACAAATATGATGATTCTGGGAAAACCAGGACAGGTAGCAATACACGATTGACCATGCTTAAATGTTTCCCTCAGTTTAGAAACAGTGTTTCTTCCCCACAGCTACTCACACGCAATGGCGTTAGTCATTTGGTCAAACCAAAAACACGTGGAACATTGGATATTAGTTACGAGAACCTGAGTTTTGAGTTAAAGGCGTGGTTGCAAATTAAATAGATTCGCTGTACACGTATATAGCCATCGTCAACCAGGTATCCAATCACCAAGAGTCAATGTGCCTGACAAGGCCGTAGCCTTGGAGTCAACATTGGTGGGGGGGGGGGGGGGACCAAATCTTCAGCCCCCCCCCCCCCCCCCAGAAAAAAAGAATCTAAATTTGAAAATGAATGTCCTGCCATTTCCTGCCTAAAATATTAAAAAATCCACTAACACATGGGATGGACTTTTTTTTTTTACAATAATGTCTAATAGTATATTGTATTACATTGCTCTGTTTTTTCTATTTTACCTTTTCTTGTTTCATTGTATGTAATGGCAGAGATTATGGATTAACAGAGTACAATAATAGCCACAATCTTATAAACAGAAATCTATTTTATAGCGATTGAGGGGGGGGGGGGGGGACATTTTGAGCATATTTGAATATTTATTATAATGACGGCCTTGGTGCCTGACGTATACACCTGCATGTGAACATCATCAGTTTCAGGCAATTTGCCAGAATTGGTGATTTAGGCAAAATTTCTGAATTGGTGATTCTGGCAAATCGCCTGATGAAGCTGGTTGTAATCACCAGCGAAACGTCGTACTCGAATGATAAATGTTGTGGGTTTTACTCTCCAACACACCGGTGTGCTGAAGTAGTAACTAATTGGCACGCTTTGTTCACGTCACAAAACTTAATCATTTGCTGTGTCGGGTGGCGGTGGGTTAACGACACATTCATATTTACGCGATCTAAGTCCCTCCCATTTATTATGAATATATTCGATCACGAAAGCCGAAGTGTTAAACTCACCTCATTGAGGCACATGACCGCACACGACATTTTATGACAAAGCTGCCATCTAGTGGGGATACGCAGAGCCACATGCGCTTGCTGGATAGTTGATTTCGCCTGGGCAGTCCTGTGCATGTAGAGGGCTTGCCAGGTGTTGTAGGATTGTGGGATTGCGAGATGCTGTCCGGAGACGGCAGTGTTGAGTGTTTGCCCCTCGTGTGTGCGTGGTGGGTTTTATTCGGGTACTCTGGATACTTCCACATGCCACTCATTAAAGAAACTCGCCAAATATCCCCAAAAGCAGACCTGGTCTTCACCTGAGGACGGCTGCTTGCGTTGTGGCCGAAACGTCGTGATAAATATTTTATTATGTTTTATTTTTATTTTATTACTTCCCTTCTACGTGACTTTACCGAAAGAACCAAGATGAGCTCCTGAACAGTTTAGACACACAATCCACGAAGTTTTTTTTGCCATAATCTCTGCTTTTTCCCCATCAGCAGGCATTCATTTGATGGCCTTTGCAGCCAGGCAGACTGGTTGCTTATTTTCTGCAATGTCAGTCGCGATTCGCTAATGTTCGGCTGCTGCCACGGAGCTGGTCTGCTTTTGTAAACACATTCCAATACTCCTACCAAATCCTACAATAAGCAGACACTGGATCGTATGCCACGTTGAGATATTTGGAAAAATTCTTGAATTAAACCCTGGCCGGAGTTGACTCACTCTCATCGTGATCCTCGACTCTTATTTAAGAGTCGGCGAAATTAATACCACCTGCCGAGGATGCACACTTGGTGGCAGGCACCAATAAGTCGACATATTCAATAAATGCTTGGCTTATGATTACTAGAAACCACATTTCCTCCGAAAATTATAACGAATTGTTTTATATTCTTTGGTTCTTTCGGTAAAGTCACGTAGATAGAAAATAAAATAAATTATAGATCACGACATTTCGATTGCAACACAAGCAACCGTCATCAGGTGTGAATGCAAGCTCGGAGAGAGACACATATACAGAGAGAGGGAGAGACACAGAGAGAGACACAGACACGGAGAGACACACATAGAGAGAGAGACACACATAGAGAGACACATAGAGAGACTCGATGGCTACTCATATGTCGCTCTTCGTGTGTGAATAAAAAAAAATTACAGTAAAATTAATAACTTTGTATGAATAAATGTATTTATTTTCAAATCGCGTTTCACGTGCCACCGCCGTGCCATTTAGCCCCGCGCGGCCGCCGTAGAACGCGCGGCTCCACTTCCCGAATGTCACGTGGTACCGCCGCTCCTTGTGGGCGGCGGCGACGGCGGTTGAGGTCACGTGGCGCGGAGGCGTTTAACTTCCGGGTCACGTGGCGCTCCCCTGCCGGGTCACGTGGTACTGGTGAATGCGCCGCGCGTGCTGAACGCGGTGAGTGCCGCGTCCCGTCCACCACCCTCACCACTCGCCACCCTACACACACTACTCTAGCTAACATTATACTAGCTAACACTACTACACTACACTAGCTACACTACTACACTACACTAGCTAACACTACACTAGCTAACACTACACTAGCTACCACTACCACTACTACACTACACTAGCTAACACTACTACACTACACTAGCTAACACTACCACTACTACACTAGCTACTACTACACTACTACTACTACACCACCACCCTCACCACTCACCACCCGACACACACTACACTAGCTAACACTACTACACTACACTAGCTACTACTACCACTACACACACTACACTAGCTAACACTACACTAGCTAACATTACACTAGCTAACACCACACTACACTACCACTAGCTAACACTACCACTACACTAGCTACTACTACCACTACACCACCACCCTCACCACTCACCACCCTAGACTAGCTAACACTACACTAGCTACTACTACCACTAGCTAACACTACCACTAGCTAATACTACCACTACACTACACTAGCTAACATTACACTAGCTAACACTACACTAGCTAACACTACCCTAGCTAACACTACACTAGCTAACACTACACTAGCTAACACTACCACTACTACTAAACTAGTACTACCACTACACTACTACTACACTAGTACTACCACTACACTAGCTACTACTACACTACCACTACACTAGCTACTACTACACTACCACTACACCACCACCCTCACCACTCACCACCCTAGACACACTACACGAGCTAACACTACACTAGCAAACATTACACGAGCTAACACTACACTAGCTAACACTACCACTAGCTAACACTACACTACCATTACACGAGCTAACACTACACTACTACTAAACTAGTACTACCACTACACTACCACTACAATAGCTACTACTACACTACCACTACACTAGCTACTACTACACTACTACTACACTAGCTACTACTACACCACTACACTACACTAACTAGCTACTACTACACTACTACTACACTACTAACTAGCTACTACTACACTACCACTACACTACACTAACTAGCTACTACTACACTACTACACTACTACTACACTAGCTACTACTACACTACCACTACACTACACTAACTAGCTACTACTACACTACTACTACACTACTACACTAACTACTACTACACTACCACTACACTACTACTACACTAGCTACTACTACACTACCACTACACTACCACTACACCAGCTACTACTACACTAGTACTACACTACCATTACACCACTACCACCCTCGCCACTACTACTACACTAGTTACTACTACACTACCACTACACTAGCTACTACTTCACTAGTACTACACCACCACCCTCGCCACTCACCACTCTAGCTAACACTACACTACCACTACACTAGCTACTACTACACTAGTACTACCACTACACTACCATTACACTAGCTACTACTACACTAGCTACTACTACACTACCATTACATTAGCTACCACTATACTAGCTACCATCACACTACCATTACACTAGTACTTCCACAGTACCACAACCACACTTGCTTTTGCTATTACTACAGTACTTTCACTACACTAGCTACTACAGTACTAACACCACACTACATACGAGTACAGTACTACCACTACCAGTATTAACTACCATTACACCAGCTACTACTACACTATCGCCACTGCACTGTCTACTACTACACTAGTGGCTAATACTACAACTGCATAAACCACCACTACTTACACTCGCTAATGATATTGCTACACTAGTAGCTAATACTACAACTGCATAAACCACCACTACTACACTCGCTAATGATATTGCTACACTAGTAGCTAATACTACAACTGCATAAACCACCACTACTACACTCGCCAATGATATTGATACACTAGTAGCTAATACTACAACTGCATAAACCACCACTACTACACTCGCCAATGATATTGCTACACTAGTAGCTAATACTACAACTGCATGAACCACCACTACTATACTCGCCAATGATATTGCTACACTAGTAGCTAATACTACAACTGCATGAACCACCACTACTACACTCGCCAATGATATTGCTACACTAGTAGCTAATACTACAACTGCATGAACCACCACTACTACACTCGCTAATGATATTGCTACACTAGTAGCTAATACTACAACTGCATGAACCACCACTACTATACTCGCCAATGATATTGCTACACTAGTAGCTAATACTACAACTGCATGAACCACCACTACTACACTCGCCAATGATATTGCTACACTAGTAGCTAATACTACAACTGCATAAACCACCACTACTACACTCGCTAATGATATTGCTACACTAGTAGCTAATACTACAACTGCATGAACCACCACTACTACACTCGCCAATGATATTGCTACACTAGTAGCTAATACTACAACTGCATGAACCACCACTACTACACTCGCCAATGATATTGCTACACTAGTAGCTAATACTACAACTGCATAAACCACCACTACTACACTCGCCAATGATATTGCTACACTAGTAGCTAATACTACAACTGCATGAACCACCACTACTACACTCGCCAATGATATTGCTACGCTAGTAGCTAATACTACAACTGCATAAACCACCACTACTACACTCGCCAATGATATTGCTACACTAGTAGCTAATACTACAACTGCATAAACCACCACTACTACACTCGCCAATGATATTGCTACACTAGTAGCTAATACTACAACTGCATGAACCACCACTACTACACTCGCCAATGATATTGCTACACTAGTAGCTAATACTACAACTGCATGAACCACCACTACTACACTCGCCAATGATATTGCTACACTAGTAGCTAATACTACAACTGCATAAACCACCACTACTACACTCGCCAATGATATTGCTACACTAGTAGCTAATACTACAACTGCATAAACCACCACTACTACACTCGCCAATGATACTGCTACACTAGTAGCTAATACTACAACTGCATAAACCACCACTACTACACTCGCTAATGATATTGCTACACTAGTAGCTAATACTACAACTGCATAAACCACCACTACTACACTCGCCAATGATATTGCTACACTAGTAGCTAATACTACAACTGCATGAACCACCACTACTACACTCGCCAATGATATTGCTACACTAGTAGCTAATACTACAACTGCATAAACCACCACTACTACACTCGCCAATGATATTGCTACACTAGTAGCTAATACTACAACTGCATAAACCACCACTACTACACTCGCCAATGATATTGCTACACTAGTAGCTAATACTACAACTGCATGAACCACCACTACTACACTCGCCAATGATATTGCTACACTAGTAGCTAATACTACAACTGCATAAACCACCACTACTACACTCGCCAATGATATTGCTACACTAGTAGCTAATACTACAACTGCATGAACCACCACTACTACACTCGCCAATGATATTGCTACACTAGTAGCTAATACTACAACTGCATAAACCACCACTACCACACTCGCGACTACTTCTCCACACCACAGAAGCTACTAAGCTACACGAGCTAGCAGCACTACACTAAGAGCTTCTACAACACGATCAGCGACGGCTACCCCTGCTGCTACTACTGCTGCTACCCCTGCTGCTACTACTGCTGCTACTACTGCAACACAAGCTGCACGTACAGCAGCAGCACACTGAACACACGACACTCAGGGCGCCCATTTAACTTTTGATTTCACCAAACTTCACGCCTGCAGGTGGAGGCGGCTAGCAAACATTGGATTTGCTGCAGTGCCCTCTGCTTCGACGCCTGATGATGCTGGTTATAATTACTGGCGAAACGTCGTCGTACTCTGTAAATGTTGTGGATTTTGTTGGTTAACACAACTGTGTTGCTGTACTAGTAACGAATTGGCATGTTCTGATAAACCTTATTAATTGGCGGGTTTAACGACACATTTATATTTACGCGATTTACCCCCAAGAAACCCCCTATATTATGGATTGTATAACTCCTGTTAACCTATAACGCCTGGTATGCACGGTGGCCACACCAAGCGTATTCCTGCGCACCTGTTGGGTCATTTGGTTGAAGCTTCTTCACCCGTGGGGCATCAAAGGGCCGTAACGCGCTTGGTTATAATATAAAAAAAGATAGATTTTTTTTCTCATTCACGAAGCCGTAATCTGCGAGACATCCTGGGACACAGCATAGATGTAGCTGCTATTGTGTTTCCTTTTGAGTTGCACTTTGTTATTTAAAGCCGTGTAAGTTGGGAGGAAACCTTGAATATGTTGCAACACTGGGCAAGACACGCGGAGACGTTGATACATAGGAAGTGAAGCCACTTATATAGGGTCAGGGGTCAAGGTTAGAGTCGGGGTCCGTGGCCAGTAACACATCCTCAATTATTTAATAGTTTTGCTTTTAATTTATTCCACTTCATGCGTATACCCCCATGTAGGTGTATGTGTTTATGCAACTAACCAGAGCTGAGCTGTTCCGACGATAGATTTACGGCTGGGCTCATCTTGCATGAGCGTTGAATCTTGGTTATCATGACTTTTATCGGCAGAGATAGGACTAGAGTAGGATCAGGTCTCGCGTTAGGGTCAGGATGTTGTATAGTGTGATGGTTGGGGAAAGTCGGTCAGTTTATTTTGGGTAAGGCCCATTGAGCTAAGATTATTTTGCATTCGTGACCCCGCCAAAACGGCTGATGTGGTAGCAGGTTGCACAGGAAGGGAGGAAGTTTCCAGGGGGCTCCACAGAACAGGCAGGGGATTTTTTTAAATATATAAACACAGCTAATAAACAACGACAATTATGTACAATGGAAATCCAGCGAGCAATCCAAAATAATATGCATGGCACGAATGAGAGGAAACTCGAAAAGTCTCCGGTTAGTCAGGGGTATGGCTAGAGTTGTTTTTAGATTATATAAAAGGGACTTGGCATAAATGCCATCGTTGAGCTTTTGGTTA